TTGTGAGACAGATGCTGTGTGGGGCACACCCAATCTGCTCTCCATTGGAGTAGGGTACATCTCATGTATTCCGAACAGGGGGCGGATGTGATGTCCAAAGACGGTCCTTTGCGGCACGGGGACCTGGGACCTTCCACCCAGAGCTATGGCTCAGACAAGGCAGAAATCCTGCCAGCGCCTGTGGACGTGTAGCAACACGAGAGAACGCTCAATGTCAACTATAATTATCGTGGAGCCACGAGACGATCCACCGCTGGGGTGGACGTGCCTGCTCACAGCCTGTGGTCGTAATGCTTTTTCACCTTCCTCTCTCCCTCTGATATCACGGTTTTCTGAACCGAGCTCAGGAGGAGGGACTGGCAGCTCCTCTGACCCAAGTGCGTGAACGCATCATGGTTTCTAGGCCTACGACATTTGTTATCAGGGCGCTTGTGGAAACTGCCGTGGAGGGAGGACGTTCTCCTCCAGGCGGGAGGAACGATCAGGAGTTAATCAGAATAGGCCAGCACCTGTGGTCTGGCCGCTGTGCGGATCTTTTTGAGAGGATGGATCTCTCTCAAGATGTAGTGCGTACGATTCAGGATTCACGTGCTGCAACCACCACAGCGCTGTTCACATCAAGTGGTCAGTTTTTTCAGCACTGCTGTACAGAGAAAGGCGTAGAGGCCACTTCATGTCCACTGTACGACATGCTGTCCTTTTCTGCAGCAGTCGATGGACAGAAATCTGGTGTCCAGCACGATTATCGTATGCTGCAGCCATGTTTTCTTCTTGTCTCAAAGTTGTCGTAGACAGAACAACCTTTAATCATCCTCTGACGGAGCATTTTGACTCAGATTGAAATAGCAGATGTGGGCCTGTTTGTGACACGACAAAACGCTCAGTGTCAATTATGGTTTCTCCGAGCCCACGAGACGAACCACCGCTGAGGGTGGATGCGTTTGCCCACAGCCCATGGCCCAAAATGCTTCTGTACTCGTTTTCCTCCACCTCCTCTGACTTTACGTTTCTTGAACCGAGTTCAGGAGGAGGGATTGACAGCTCTCCTGGTGGCCAGTCCTTCAACGCCTGCTGTCGGGGTGCCCGTGAAAACTGCCGTGGAGGGAGGACGCTCTCCTCCAGGCAGGAGGAGCGACCAGGAGTTACCCAGAAATAGCCCAGCACCTGTGGGTCTGGCCGCTGAATGGATCCGCTTAGAGAGGATGGGTCTCCCACAGGATGTAGTGTGCACAATTCTGTTTTCACGTGCTACATCTTCCACAGCGCTGTACACATCAAAGCGGACAGCTTTTCAGCGCTGGTGTACAGAGAAGGGTGTAGAGGCCACCTCATGTCCATTAGGTGGCATGCTGTCCTTTCTGCAGCAGCTGATGGACAGAAATTTGGCGTCCAGCACGATTAAAACGTACGCTGC